TCTTACCCCTTTTACTCTCTTATGCTTTTGCTCTCTTACCCTCTCATCCTTTCTCCCCCTCTCTTCTCTCAGGCCTGCTCTGAGCTGTGGCTGCAGCTCCCAGCAGGGCCCTGCCCCCAGGCCCTTTGCAATAAACCCCAAATCCCAGCAGGGCCCTGCACCCAGGCCCTTTGCAATAAACCCCAAATCCCAGCAGGGCCCTGCCCCCAGGCCCTTTGCAATAAACCCCAAATCCCAGCAGGGCCCTGCACCCAGGCCCTTTGCAATAAACCCCAAATCCCAGCAGGGCCCTGCACCCAGGCCCTTTGCAATGAACCCCAAATCCCAGCAGGGCCCTGCACCCAGGCCCTTTGCAATGAACCCCAAATCCCAGCAGGGCCCTGCACCCAGGCCCTTTGCAATAAACCCCAAGTTCCTGACCTGGCTCCAGAGATGTCTGCTCTCCATCCGTCCCCACTGTGCTATCCCCGTCAGTCCTACAGGCACTCCCTGGCATCCCTGGGGCACTGTGCTGAAGCCAGGGAAGCAGACATGGACCCCCTGACCCAGCTGTGTGCCAGGGCACACCTGCATGGTGCCCCTGCACCCCCAGGAAAGTTGCAGCCTTCTCTGGGCTTCTGCCTGGGCCCTGCACAGGCCTTCAGGAGAGCTGTGAAACCTCAATCAAAGCAGAAACACTTCTGAGAAATTACATCATTAACACTAAAGCTCAGTGGGATTGGAGACCTAGATAACCCTCTAATGGTTATCTAGATAAACCTAGATAACCATTTTCTAGTGGCTGTTTTCAGAATTCAAATTCATGGTTGGCAGTGTGCTGTGATCATCCCAGTTCCTGTGCTGCTCATTTTAAACTGCTCAGAGCAATCCCTTCCCTCTGGCCATTCCCTGGCAGTCTCAAACAGGGCATGGGAGGAAAAGCAGAGCTGCTCTTAGAGGTGGAAATTCTCTTCAAATTTAAGGAATCTGTGTGACCTTGAAGCAATACAGTGGGAGTGGGAGCCTGGACTGATCTCCCAGAGCTTAAGCCTCCCTGCAAATCTCCCGTGGTGACAATCAGGTCAGAAATCAGAGCATGAAAACACAAATGTCAAGCGAAAGGATACAATTTTTCATGCCTGGCTGAAACCAAGCACCCTGTAAACCACAGTTTTGCTCCTGTAAGTGGTGCAGATAATCTCACTTACAGCAGATATCCATGGCAGGAGCTGAAGGCACCATTAAAGGCTTACACAGTGCTGCCTGTAATTTAAATCCACTAAAAGCACAAATGTCTGTTGTTCAGTTCCTTAAATATTAAGCTGGCATGTGAAGCTTTTTTTTTTTTTTTTTCTCCTCTCTCACACACACATGAGGGATTTTGCTGCTTCTGCACCTCGCTGCCCTGGGGATGCTGGGCAGCAGCCTGGGTCAGGAATTGCAGGGATGGCACAGGGCATGGGAGGCAGCAGGGAGGCTCTGCCCCTGCCCACCCCTCCCTCCTGCCTTCCCAAAGGAGCCCAGGTGCACTCACAGCACCATCCCCTTCTGACTGTCCCTCTTTGTGAAAATCCCCTTTCCTGAAAGGATCATTTCGATCCAGACTGAACAATTTTCATTTTATTTTCCCTTGTTTGGGGGTTTCTGCAGGACCTGGGTGCGATGGTGTTCACAGGGGCTTTCAGGTGAGGGAAGAGATGAGAATGTTGATTCCATGTTTCAGAAGGCTTGATTTATTATTTTATGATATATATATTACATTGTAACCATAGTAAAAAGAATAAAAGGAAAAGTTTTATCTCAGAAGGCTGGCTAAGCTAAGAATAGAATGGAATGAATAATAAAGGTTTGTGTCTCGAACAGAGAGTCCAAGCTAACTGGGCTGGGATTGGCCATTAATTGTAAACATCTGAGATGGGCCAATCACAGATGCACCTGTTGCATCCCACAGCAGCAGATAACCATTGTTTACATTTTGTTCCTGAGGCCTCCCAGCTTCTCAGGAAGAAAAATCCTAAGAAAAGGATTTTTAATGAAAAGATGTCTGTGACACCAGGGAGCAAAGGAAAGACAGCTCCTGACATTTAGAGTTGTCACCCATCTGACAGGGAGGGTGACAGCCCCTGCCACCACCCTGTCCCTTTTCCAAGCCACTCTGGTCCCTTCACTGCAGAGATCCCATTGCTCCCTGCAGTCACCAGGGCTCTGCTGCTGCATCTCCCCTGCCCCATGTCCACAGCCGTCCACTCCCCTGAGCCCAAATACAGCATTTCATGTGATGGCTGCATCAGTGGGAAGAGGATTTAGTGTAAAACCATCCCCCTGCAGTGCTGCTGCAGCATAAATAAATGTTCTGTTGGCCCTGGAGAGGGCAGTCCCAGCTCTGGGGTCACTCTGACACATCAGACAGCACAACCTTCACAGCAAAGCAGGTTTGATTGTCGTTTCTTGCCCTTGGAGGAACTCTGGAGAGGAAAAGACCTGCTCCAGCCCCAGCTGCTTGTAACAAGCAGCACCTCTAAAACAGGATTTTTAGCCTTAAAAGATGGAAAATCACTGAAGTCCTGTGAAACCCAGCCCTTGCCTGTGCCCCATGGTGGTGCAGGAGCAGCAGCTGCTCCCAGCACAAGGTGGCCAGAGGTGACTGAGCTGGCTTTTGTGGGGAATGAAGGATTTGTAACAAAACAATGGGCGGGGGGTTAATTGAGGATTAATTTAAACATCTCCACTGATTTAATTTGCTTCTGCCCAAAGTCCCTGAGCAATAGTAAGCTTAAATTAAAGTTCACATCTGCAAATGTGGTTCACAGAGTGATCTTTATCTAATTCCCTCCTTGCTTACTGCACGAGGTGAGCCCAATCCAGCTCTGGCAGCACTGATGGAGCTGGGGCCAGCCTGGGGTGGCTCTCAGGGTGCAGCGTGGAGGTGTTTGGGGATGAAGGATCCTTTGTGCTGGAACAGTCCTTGCCTGTCCTGGCTCCCCAAGGGGGCTCTCCAATCTCTCCCAGCCTCTCCATGCCATGAGCAGCCAGTGCTGGTCCATCACTCCTGGCTAAATGCAGATTTCTTCACACAGGAGGGAAAACCTCTGCACTGGAACTTCCAGCTGCATGACAGCGCTGCCCTGATGGTGTTTGGTACCAAATGATCCACTGGGGTAGCAACATTTAGAGCTACTATTCCTTATCTTCCAAAAAGCTCATAGCTTGTTGGAACCCTGGTTACTGAGAATTTCAGACTTTCTGTGCTGCCAGGCACTGACCCCCAGGAGAACACTGCATTGACCTGAGCCGGTGGAGAAGCTTCCAAAATGGAATGACAGAACTGGGACTGTGGCTGTGGAGTTTGAATAGAAGTGTGTGATATCACAGGGTGGGAAACTTAGAGTTTAAGGGTTTAGAATATAGTAATATATATAAAGCAAGATGGAGGTTTTAGGGAACACTGGGTTTTAGGGCCAAGGGTACTCCTTGGTTTTAGGGAACACTAGGATTTAGGGCCAAGCATGATCCTTCTTCTTCACCTTCTCCATGGGTTTGGGTGGTTTTATGTAATTGGATAAAAAAGTCCACATTGCTGGTCAAGGGTGGTTGGTTATTGGGTTAAAAGTAAAAATAATTTCGGTGTCATTTCTTAATTAGACAGTTTATCCTTAAAAAGCCTTGTGGAGGGAGAGAGATAGGACTCCATTCTAGTTTATTAGAGTGAAGTACTGCAGAATTCAGGGTTTGTGAGACTGTACCATAGATAAGAACTAACAGACATCAGAGTCCCAACAAGAAATTCCATCTCCTGCATTTAATCCTGATCCTGGCAAAAAGAAGTTAAGACTCAACAATGGTCATTTATGGACTGGCTTTGCTTTGTGCCCAGGGTTATCTGCCTCATGCCATGGCTCTGCCTTACAGTTCAAATTTGTTAAGTTCCATCCTCCTGCTTTGCCTGATCCCACCAGCATCTTGGTCATGTGTGACTCTTTTCCTAGCAGCCTTTTTTGCAGGGTTCACTTTCCTGCTCTCAGAAGAGAAGCACTGATCTCCAGAAATCCCTGCTCCCGCACTCTGCACTGACCATGCAGCTGCTGGAGCTGCTGATGATGCTCACCTCTCTCCACTGCATTCCTGCAGATTTCAATCTTAGCATCAATCTCATCAAGGCAGGTAAATCTTTCCTGGTTTTAATTAGGGGTAATTTGAAGTATCTAGAGTGCTCTGGCAAACTTCTCTCATCTGTGATGCTGACAGAGGGGCCTCTGATGCCTTAGGATTTCAGCAGCTTTTGTGTTTTCAGATCCTGTGCTGCATCAGTGCATCGCTCCAAACTCCACACAGAGTATGAGTTACTGTCCTCACACTTTGGTCAGACACAACAATCCCTCTGGGCCTGAGATCCAAGGACACCCCACAGCCTCAGGCCTCAAAAAACACAAACAAAAGTGAATTGAGGGGAGCAAACTGGGGGTAAATGACTTCATTAGCTGAAGCTGTAATTGGAGAGTTAACCCCTGATATGTAAATGGAGCAAACTTATAACTGTCTGAAAAACTGGTGCCCGTTGTCCAGCTTGGGTGTAGCCTCTGGGAGGCTGTGACTGCCCAAGGTGTGGCTGTTGAAGGTCTTTAATAAATACTCACTTTATTCTCTAAATCTTGTCCAGCCTCTATTCCAGGTAGCCCTTCAAAGGCATCAGCACCAGCACTGACAGAGCACTCTGCATGCTTGTAGCACTCTGAGCCACAGCTAAAATCAGAGATGAAAATGAATCCAAATACTTTAACAAGCTCACAGGAGGCTCCTGTTCCAGCCCAGTGGCAGCACATTTGCCATGCCACACTTGGTGCTGCTAACACCTGGGTAAGGCTTTCAAAGCCCTGGCAGGCTGGAGCCTGTCCCCAGGACAGCCCCAGGAGAGGCACTTCCAGGGCTGGCAGCACATCTGGAAGCAGAGGAGTTCCAGAGGTGGAAAATGGACATCATGGGCTTGGGGTGACGCTGAAAAGGCAGCTGAGGAACCAACTTACCTGTCTGACAGCACAGAGCAGCCTCCCATAGGAATAGACAATGATGGCAAACGGGATCACGAGGCAAAAGATGAAAAGACAGATGATGTAGGAGGTGTTGTTGGGGTCCCTGGAATGCCAGTTCACAGAGCAGGTTATCCCTGCTCCTTCTGGCCCATAGCTACTCCAGCCAAGCAGTGGGGGCACAGTCCAGAGCAGGGAGTATGTCCAGGACAGGATGATGGCTGCCCAGGCTTTCCTGTAGTTGGTGGTGTCAGGCTCTGCTGTCCTGGTCATGGTGCAGCAACGCTCGTACGAGAGCACGGCCAGGGAGATGAGGGAGATGATGCCTGTGCCAAACCAGAGCCTTGTATCAGCAAAAAATCAATGAGTGAAGGCTTTGCTCTGCCTCCCAAAACAATATTTCAAGCTTTGGATGAGCCTGAAGGCACTGGCTTTGTAAACAAGGCAGGCAAGGAGTGGGACTGAGGTGTCCCCTAAGGGTGAGAGGTGCTGAGAGCCTGGCCCCACTCACAGGAGCTGGGGGTGTGCAAACACATCCAGCCAAAGCAGTCAGTTATAAATGCTCATCAATAATTAACCACACCTGTCTGAATGGATACGTGTGTGTGTGTGTGTGTGTGTGTGTGTGTGTGTGTGTGTGTGTGTGTATGAGCTGCAGTAAAACCCTGCCTTCTCCATCAGATCTGGTTCTTGCTGCACCTGTAAAATTCGAGATTAGTATCTAGATTTGCCCAAAGCGTGGACCTGAGCTGGTGCTCCTCTGCCAGCTCTAAAGTGCAACCTTCTGAGCCCTCCTTGGGGAAGTGCAGCCCCATGAGGATTTCATGCTGTGCATAATGCAGAGCTGTAGGTCAAAGCCATGTCCTGAAGCCCCCTGTGCCAGCAAGAGCCCCTCTCAGGGGGGCAGGCAGCTCCTGAGCCTTTGCTGAGACAGTGATGGATCTCCTGCAGTTGGGGTACTGCCAGCAGACACCAAGGGGGCAGTAAAACCACCAGCAGCAAATCAAAGGCTTCTTTAGCATGCAGAAATGCTGGAGGGGAGGTAATTTCTAAAGCTGATATGAGTTTGCAGTTTCCCTCCGTGCACACTTCCCCGGCTGCACTGTGGATCGGTGCTGGAAGGTACAAGGGGATGTTGCTGGATGCTGACACACTCCTGCTAAACTTTCCTTGCCGAGTAAAGGTTTTACATGCACAAATTTGGCTTTTTAGCCTGTGTAATTTCATGAGGGAAAGAGATGGCAGCAAATAGCTGCTGCAAGTATCCCTTTAGAGTGTGCATCAGCAGTGTCAGTGTCTTTAAGTGGCTGTGGGAAGCCTGGATGCCAGCTAAGCTGTGTTCCTGGGGTGGTTCAGGTCTGTTCTGACAGCAGAGGGATGCTCTGCTGGTAAAGCCTCTGCCCCATGGGAATGCTGGCTGGGGGAGAGCCCCACCAATGTGTGCCAGCGTCGGCAGAGCTTAGAGGTCTTTTATAACCTAAACGAGGCTGATTCTATCCCCGCTTTCATCCTTGAAAGTTTGTAGAGCTCTTCCTCAGACGCTGGGAACACGCTGTGGAGCCTGAATGAGGACTCACGCCTAACGCTGCCTGGGCTTTTCCCAGCGAAACAACCACCCAAGCTGGGAAGGTTTCCCCCAGCCCTGTGCTCCTGGCGTGCCCGGGGTCCCCTCCCCAGGCATAGCCCGAGCTCCATCACGGCCCCGGACACGCACCCAGGGGCCGCACCCGTTGCGGGCTGGCTCTGCCCTCCCGGGACCCCGGGGCTGCCCAGGCTGTCCCGTTCTCTCCCCAGAAATGCGAGGCTATCCCATTCTCTCCCCGGAGCGCCGGGGTTGTCCCATCCCCTCCCCAGAGCTGCTGCTGCTGTCCCCTCCCCTCCCGGGAGCTGCCCAGGCTGTCCCATCCCCCCCCCCAGAAATGCGAGGATATTCCAGTCTCCCCTGGAGCTGCCCAGGCTGTCCCGCTCTTTCCCCGGAGCTGCCGGGGCTATCTTATTCTCTCCCCACAGCTGCCCAGGCTATGCCATTCTCTCCCTGGAGCTGCCGGGGCTGTCCTGTCCCCTCCCTGGAGCTGTCCCATCCCCTTCCGGAGCTGCCGTCCCTACCATCCCTCCCCGGGACTATCCCATTCCATCCCTCCCCGGAGCCGCCGGCGCTGTCCCGTCCCGTCCCATCCCATCCCCGGAGCTGCCCAGGCTATCCCATTATCTCCCCGGAGCTGCCGGGGATGTCCCATCCCCTCCAGGAGCTGCCGCGTCCCTATCCCATCTCGTTCCCTCACGGAGCTGCCGGAGCTGCCCCGTCCCCTCCCGGGGCTGTCCCGTCCCCTCCCGTCCCTCCCCGGGGCTGCCCCGTCCCCTCCCGGGGCTGTCCCGTCCCTTCCCCTCCCGGGGCTGTCCCGTCCCCTCCCCGGGGCTGTCCCTTCCCCTCCCCGGAGCTGCCCCATCCCCTCCCGGAGCCGTCCCGTCCCGTCCCGTCCCTCCCGGTGCTGTGTGTCCCGCAGCCCGGTGGCACTCACCGCAGAGGGCGGTGGCGAAGCCGTGCCAGGCGCAGGCGGCCCCGGCAGCGGTGCTGTTGCTGTCGTTGCTGTCGCTGTTGCCCGCGGCCAGCCCGAGCGGGGTGCCCAGCGCGCAGCCCAGCAGGTCGCTGAGGGCCATGTTGAGCAGCAGCAGGTTGATGGGGGAGCGCAGCGCCGGGAAGCGCCAGAAGAGCAGCAGCACCAGCAGGTTGCTGCAGAAGCCCAGGCTGCCCACGGCGCCCAGGCACACGGCGGCCGCCAGCCTGCCCCCGGGGCCCAGGCAGGGCTCGGCCTCGGCCCGGCCGTCCCCGCAGCCGGCTCCGGCCTCCCGCATCCCCGCGCCGCTCTGTGCCCGGGCTGGCACCGCTGCCCCCGGAGCGCCCCGGACACACACGGGCTCGGAGCTCGCTGTGCAGCCAGCGGAGCGCTAAATCCGTCCAGAACCGAGCGGGATGTGCTTCAGACCATGTGCGAGCCTCAGCTCGGCACGCAGCGCTCTCAGAGTAAAGAGCTGAGCCAGGCTGTCCTAGAGCACTGCAAAGGTAAAGCTTGAGCTGCCAACCTGTGACAGGGTTCACAGGAGTGTGAGGATGAGGGAAGAGACGAGGATCTGACTCCATGTTTCAGAAGGCTTGATTTATGATTTTATGATATGTATTATATTAAAACTATACTAAAAGAATAGAAGAAAAGATTTCATCAGCTATGTGTGAAAAATGCATGTATTTTATGATCAGCTTTTCGCAAATATTAAAATGAATATGATATGTGTTGTGTTAGAAAGTAGTGCTGTATTAATTCTCTTAAATAGTGTGTTAAATATAGTTTTAGGTTATAACAAAATGTTAAAAATAGAAACTATGCTATGTAGGATACTTTTTTTAAAGAAAGGACTCGCAGTGAGATAGCAGCAACAGGACATCTGAATCTTTCAGAGAAAAAGAATTTATTGCCCCATTATCAGAAGAAACGAACTTCTTCCTGCCTCACAGGCCCTGTCAGGATTCAGAGGAAGAAGCTGATGATGACCAGACAGAATCCTGTGTCTGAATGGAATTTATGCATCATGTATGAGGTGTATGAATATGCAACAGGCTGTTGTTTTTAAGGGTTAATCCTCTGTTAAGGTGGGTCATTTTTCAGGCTCGTGCTGCCCAGAAAAAGGTTCCTGGACTGTCTGTAACTCTTTGTTTCTATTGTCTCATATTACCCTAATTTCATTTGTCCAAATTGTTATTACTCTAATTGTATTACTATTTTTATAACTATTTTATTACTATTAAACTTTTAAAATCCTAAAAACCAGTGATTGGTGTTTTTCACACTAAGAATAGAAAAGGAATGGAATGATAACAAAGGTTTGTGTCTCAGACACAGTCCGAGCCAGCTGACTGTGATTGGCCATTAATTAGAAACAACCACATGAGACCAATCCCAGATGCACCTGTTGCATTCCACAGCAGCAGATAACCATTGTTTACATTTTGTTCCTGAGGCCTCCCAGCTTCTCAGGAGGAAAAATCCTAAGGAAAGGGTTTAGAAAGAAAATATCATGGCTACACCAACCAGCTACAGAGCAAAGTATTTATCAGTTAAGTTCCTTAAAATCTAAGTTCTGGTCATATCCCATCCTCCAGTAAGGAGAGCACTCTCAGACATTTTAATGTATTGATGTGGTGACCCTAGAGGGAAAAAATACCCCCACTGTTCTACTCACAAGGGAATTTTTTTTTGTGTGTTTGCAAATAAAAAGTGAATTTGTCCAATTTCCTGCAGCTTGGTTGCTATGAGCAATTAGTACTGAAAGGGAGAGTGTGAAGCCCGGTATCCCCCCTCTTTCTTTTTCAGTTGTTCATTATGGGGAGGAGGCAGTTTCAGAGTATTTCTGCTTGAAATGACCTTCAAGGTTTTTTTTAAACAAAACCCCTGCACTTTGGGAAAGCTGGCTTCTTCTTGCCTTCCCTCTGGGCTGCTAAGGGGATGGACAGGGTCCAGCATGATGCTGTATCATTTATCAGCATTTCTGAAGGCTAAGAATGTAACTGGGCAGGGTAGCTCAAGAGGTTAGTCACCTGAAACTCTGCACTTTAGATAAAAAATAAGGATGGAAAAACAGACCCTTCACCAACTTTGTTGCCCTCCTCTGGACATGCCCTTCAATGTCGTTCATGGAGCGAGGAGCCCAGAACTGGGCACAGGATTTGAAGTGCATCCATCCAGGTAGTTTTTAATGCAGTGAAGAATGTGCCTGCCCAAGCTGTGGGCTGCCAGTTTTCCCAGGAGAACGCTGTGGGATGTTTCAGACCCCGAAAATATGTCAAGAAGTCCTTTTGATAACGCAAAATTGGTTTGGTCACCTGGAAAATTTTATCGTTTACTATTTGTTGAGGCAAAAGGACTTGCCAACTCATTTGGGGGAAAGGTGCTGTGGTGCAGCACGTCTGTCTCCTTGATCATCTGGGAACTTGGCTGGAATTGCACAGCTGCTGGTGTGCAATTTCTCCTCTGAAAAAGAAAAAAAAAAGGATAGGAATTGCCTAAACCCAAATGTGGAATCCGAAGCGATTTAGTGACGTTCCCCTCGATTTCAGCAATGGCCACAAGATGGCACAGGGCAGCTCCAAGTAGGATGGGACTGGATCCCTGGGGAAAAGGGATTTCCAAGGTGCCTGGAGCCATGGCTTGGCTGGGCATGGCTGGAAATGAGCCGCGGGCACACGGTGATCTCTCTCAAGCCATGTGTGTGACAGCCGGACGAGGGTGACCGCACCCGAGTGGCCCTGGCTCTGCCAGAGCAGCTCGGGGCTCCGGGAGAAGGTGATCTACAGATAAAGAAACGCCTTGTCCGAGGGCTCTGCTTTGGCCCAGCTCCCACCGGGCTGGGTCAATTCCCTGCCGGCCTGGGTCAATTCCCTGCCAGGATGAGTGAATTCCCTGCCAGGATGGGTGAATTCCCTGCCGGCCTGGATGAATTCCCTGCCGGGATGGCTGAATTTCTTTCCAGGCTGGGTGAATTCCCTGCTGAGCTGGGTCAATTCCCCACTGGGCTGGGTCAATTCCCTCATGGCCTGGGTGAATTCCTTGCCGGGCTGGGTGAATTCCCTTCCAGGCTGGGTCAATTCCCTGCCGGGCTGGTTGGATTTAATGACCGTCTGTGTGAATTCCCTTCCAGCCTGGGTGAATTCCCCACCGGCCTGGGTCAATTCCTGCCTGGCTGGGTCAATTCCCTGCCGGACTGCGTCAATTCCCCACCGGGCTGGGGGAATTCAGTGCCAGGCCGGGTCAATTCCCTGCCAGGATGAGTGAATTCCCTGCCGGGATGAGTGAATTCCCTTCCAGGCTGGGTAAATTCTTGCCAGGCTGGGTCAATTCCCTGCCGGCCTGGGTGGATTCCCTGCCGGCCTGGGAGCTGCCCGTGCTGGCCCGGGCTGTCCTGGGGTGGCCGCAGCTCAGGGACCGGACAGGCGGGGACCAGGCCAGGGCTGGCAGCAGCATGGGCGATGCCCGGGCTTTGCTGCGTTGTGATTTCACGGTTTACCTCAGAGCCCCGGGTCCCTCCCCTGAAGATTCCCTACAGGTGTGTCAGTCGCGCCTCCTTTCCCCTCCCTGACCCCTGCCGAGCACTGGCTGTCAGTCCTAGAATTCCAGAAGGGCATCGAGTGATTGGCAGATTCACAGGATGCCCTCTACCCCTGGGGGACATTGGGCCATCCAGGTGTCCTTTGTCCCTTGAGACCTCCCCTCCTGTCCCTGCTTGGTGGCTCCCTGCCCCTTCCCTGCCCCTCTCCCCGGGGTTAAAGGAGCAGCAACCACACAGTTGACAGTTCAGGGCGTTCTGTTGGAGCAGTTGCTGGATTCAGAGGCCTGTGGGCCAGAATAAAGCCCTGGATCCAAACCCTCCATCAGAACCGACTCCTTTCCATCACCATGGCCTTAAAGCTTCTCCACAGAGGGAAACCCAAGGAGCAGACCCTGTTACAGGGGAAGCACCACCAGAGCTCCTGCAGGCCTGGACTTGTCTCCAAGTGCCCAGCTGCAGCACCCAGCCAGCCAAAAGTGTCTGTGGGGTGAAACACCACACACTCAGCTGGCCAAAAGTGTCTGTGGGGTGAAACACCACACATCCAGCCAGCCAAAAGTGTTTTGGGGGTGAAACACCACACACCCAGCCAGCCAAAAGTGTCTGTGGGGTGAAACACAACACATCCAGCTGACCAGAAGTGTCTCTGGGGTGAAACACCACACACCCAGCCAGCCAAAAGTGTCTGTGGGGTGAGACACCACACACCCAGCCAGCCAAAGGTGTCTCTGGGGTGAAACACCAGAGTTGCCCCCATTTGGTTCAGCAGCAGGGCCAGACAAGCTCAGGCACATCCCATCCACAATATTGGTGATACCAATAGGGCAGGATGTCAGCCCCACAGGAGACAGTGTTCCCAGTGGTGGCAGCGCTAAACACGGTGTCTGCAGCTCTGCTGCTGTGAAAAATGCATGTATTTTATGACTGGCTTTTCGCAAATATTAAAATGAATATTATGTGTGTTGTGTTAGAAAGTAATGCTGTATTGATTCTCTTAAGGAGTGTGTTAAATATAGTTTGAGGTTATAACAAAATGTTAAAATAGAAACTATGCTCTGTAGGAGACTTTTTTTAAAGAAAGGACTTGCAGCGAGATAGCAGCCACAGGACACCTGAATCTTTCAGAGAAAAATAATTTATTGCCCTCTTATCAGAAGAAATGAACTTCTTTCTGCCTCAAAGGTGCTGTCAGGATTCAGAGGAAGAAGTTGATGACGACCAGACAGAATCCTGTGTTTGAATGGAATTTATGCATCATGGATGAGGTGTATGAATATGCAACAGGTTATTGTTTTTAAGGGTTAATCCTTTGTTAACGGGTGTCCTTTTTCCTTTTTTGGGCTTGTGCTGCCCAGAAAAAAGTACCTGGATGTCCATAACTCTTTGTCATCATTGTCTCATATTGTCCTAATTCAAATTGTCCAAATTGTTATTACTCTAATTGTATTACTATTTTTATAACCATTTTCTTACTATTAAACTTTTAAAATTTTAAAAACAAGTGATTGGCGTCTTTCACACTGCTGTGCCTCCCTGCTGGCTATTGAGTGTCAGAGTCCAGCCAGCATCCGAACCCATTTCCCACACCAATATTTCCATAATGGCTGGAAAGGGGCAGGAAGGAGACACAGATAATTCCTTCTGGCAGCACTCTGTGGGTTGTGCTGTCCTGTAAATCCCTTGTCCCCATGTGGAAATCCCACCAGCCACAGCCAACAATGGCACTGAAGCCAACACCGTTGTAACAAATTATC